CCAAACCATCACGCTGAAACCACCATGCTCCACAATTGGCTGCAATCTGTTGCGCCAAAACTCTTGCTGAGGCATTCTCCAGACCCACATCCTTCCACTGTCTGAAAATTGAGCAAATCTTGATTCGTCTGAGAACAATATGGTCTTCCAAAAATCCAGAGGCTTGGTCATCATATCATTTGCCCACTTCTTTCGTCTGACTATGTTGGCAGGTCTTAATAAGGGTTTCCGTCTAGCTGCTCTGCAACGATAACCCAGTCTGTAGAGAATCCATTGAACAGATTTCGGGCTCATCCCACCAACTTTGGCCACTTCTGCAGTCGTTAATCTGGGATCCATTTGATGCTCCACTTGACAGCCCTTTTTGTCCTCTCCGATGGACCAGGACAACCTGGATGCTGCTCAATTGTTTCCTTGCTGTGTTTCCCGAACTGCATGACGATTCTGTTGACTGTCGAAAGCGGGATTCCCAAATTCTGCAAAATTTGCCGCTGACTTATTCCACCATCTGCTTGACCAACTATCCTTCCTCTAACAAAATCTGACAATTCGAGAGAACTTTGAGTTCTCGGCGTGTTGTAGCACAAGATAATTAGTGTGTGGACCATTTTCATTTATATAATGCTCTGTGAACACAAATTAGTTAGCATAAATCAGTTAAATGACGAAACATTAGGTATCTATTTACTTGTGACCACTCAGTGTACACTACACAAAAGGCAAGCATTAAAGTGTTGAAGCTTGAAACAAAGACCAAAATGTTAAATTTCAAAGCTTAACTTTTGAGTATGTTTACATAATACGTTGATTTTACATAAATACCCCAGAAACCAATCAATGTTAATTTCATCTTCCGTTGTAAAGCTGCTCCATACCTTTCATCACCCACATCCAATAAGAAAATCGCATAAACAAACAAAATAACATTTAAATTAATATCCAAGAATTTCTTACGCTGGATAGTCCTCTACCGTTTCACAAAAAGTACTTTTAGTCTTCTGAGCACATAGCGGAACTCCAGTGTCGTCCACAGATGGCTCTAGCAGATTATCATCAGGAAACACAATTCGTGAATTATCTTCGACGTCTGTTAGATTACGAGTACGATGTGGAGGATTGTCAGGAACTGATACACCGTCGCTATACTGGGGAGGGTAACTATGTGCCACCTCAAAATATACAACAGTAAACATCTACAAAATATAAAATAAACTATAAACAGTAACGTATGTGAAAGGGGAAAAATATAAATTTATTTACTTAGAAAATTTTAAATTATTCTCTCGTGCTGCTTTCTTGACCTTAAGTTCATTGACAATTTTATTTATTTAAAATCGAACAGATCAATAACTAAACTGGTACAAAGTGTGGTTCACGTTTGTCAAAGAAAACAAAAAAAACATTTATTTTGCACTAACACAAGACAGTCAGATTCGTTTTCTTTTATCGAAATGAGCGAGTGGTTATTATGGGCTTATTATATTTATAGCATACACATAATCAATATTTCAAAAGAAAAGAAACTTGTGTTAAAAACAATTTTTGTTCTTTTGCATTTTATATGTTATATATTACTTTTTTTTCTCAAAATTTATTCGTCATTTCGTTTCATTACGTTATAGACACGCCATATTTGTTATAACATGCAACATTTTTAGGAACTGTAAACACTAGTAAAACATGTAAATAACTTCTGAAATAAAACTGTCACAGAAAGTAAAAACTGCAAAGATCCAAGGATGGTCTAGTTACCCTAGTAGTTCGTGTATTGGATGGTGATTGGAGGATCTCGGGATTGAGAACGTATTGTTATCAAACACGCTTTGCACTTTCGCAGTTCAAAATTTAAACGGCTACGTCTGAGCCACAGAAGTCTCTGACCTGGTAAACAGAAAATGTTATTCGGGTGAAATAGCAAAAACTGCAAAGTCAGCCTGAAGATTGGCTTACAAAATAGTGTTTGCATCACTTGTTATGGTTGTTGTATATAAATTGTACATATATATATATATATATATATTGACATGGTAAATTGCGTGTGCTTGTACATACATAATTTCGTGCTTTGTTTCGTTCAAGTTTTACTGACACATGTTTAAATCATAATGGAGAAGCTGGATATTCAGTTGTGACGCGGAAACAACGCAAACAAATTATTGTGTAGCTTTGCACTAAAATAAACAAACAAAAATCAATTGTAAATAGTAATTTTGATCACGTGAATAGAAATGGTGTTTTAATCATGTTGCAGTAAATGTTTAAAGACTGGTGAAATAATACTACGTAGTAAAAGAAAATAGTAAAAGTAAAATCATTTTAATACAAAAATTAGGCTTAATGGCTTAAGTTTACCAATAATCACGATCTACTTGTACTTTGGCAAATACTATTAAGCCTATAAAAACAAATAATTGCATCACTTCTCCAACTAAGTTCTTCGATAAATGAGGTTTCGAACCATTAAACTCAGTAACTTTCAAAGATAATGATCTGAGTACCCAAGCAGAAACTAATGAAGAACAGGAAAGGCAAATAAATATTTCTTAAACTTAAGTCACCGATTCCGACTATAATCTTCTTTGTCGAGAAGAACTATAGGCCTATAAAATAACGAAAATAAAGTCGAGAATTTAGAGGAGTGGATGTTTTTCAAAACACATTTATTTATCACAATAACCTGCTTTATTAATTATTTAATTACAAAAAAAATGTTGTTTTAAAAATAAAAAAACAATATTGATAATAATATAAATTATAAAATATTATTTTATTTTTATTCAATGAATAATTATAGAAAAAGTTTAGACGTATCGTAGATCTAATATTAATATATGATAGACCAGCAATCATTACCGTAGGAAGAAATTTTGGAGGGATGATCATTGCCAAACATTGTTATTATCAGTAGAGTCTGGAGGCACGCCCTTCCAATTTTAAATACAAAAATCAACGAATCTCCCGCGATCCTCGCTTTTCCCCTTGCAATGATGAACTACCCTGGTCATATAAAAATTTGTCTTGCAAAGTTTAACTGTTCAAGTTGTATGAAACATGCCCATTCTCTTGGGTGTAGTGGACTTTATATTGAAACCGTCAGTTTGACAGCAACGGCACGAGCACTGTTAAATCACAATATTTTATCAGTCTTACTCTTAACATAAAAAGATATCTGTATATATCAGAAACTTTCAGTAGAGAGCACGTAATCAAGGTGTGTAAATAATCTTAAGTCTTTAGAGAATACTTAGAAAAGTTTGTGTACAGAGAGTCAACAGTCAATCGAATGATCAAAGTGTGAAAAGGAGCAGATTTTTTTTTTTTTTTTAATTCACTGCAAAAGTAATCTACACCATCTACAGCTAATCAGACGATGGCCTGTTCTGAAAATTAATTTACTTTCCATGTATCTGGGCCTCATTAGGCAGGCTTAACCTAAAATATTAGGAAAGTTTCTTCCAAATTCAACTTTAGTGGCCTTAATGCGTCAAAGTCTTCTTTTATATCATTGTCCATCTAGCTCCAATTGTTTTTCCAGTTTCACAGGCGCAGAGGTAGTTCTAGCCTGACAGTGTGGGAGGAGAAGAAAATTAAACCTACAAATCAAAGGTGTGGTAGCGTCCTTAACCGAAGAGCGGGTATGTTGTGCAACTACTGGTGATGTCACGAGAAGGGTGTTGATTTTATACTGTTTATGTTTTACACTGGTTTGTTTAGAATTTTGCGCAAAGCTACACGACGGCTAATCAAATACTCAACACCACCCATCGCCAACTCTTGGACTACTCTTTTACCAAGGAATATGGGATTGGCCGTCACATTATAACGCCCCCACGGCCGAAACATTTTACAATGAATACTTCTACGAAAAGATATGTTATACAAACAGATATTTTTAATGTACAAATTGTATGCCTTTTACTAGTCTTAACAGTATTGTTACACACACACACACAAAAATGGCGACAGCAACTCCAGGAAAAGGTTTATTCCTATAACGAAGTATGAAAAGCTTGTAATATCGAGTATACTCATTTACTTTTAGTCCCCTTCTCCGAACCTTTTATGGTTAACCTGCTATAGTTATTTAATAAGGAATGTGGTTAAATCTTTGTTTTTGCGTAAACAGATAAACGTGTGTTGATTCTGACTTCGTTTAATTAACAACAAACAAATGGGTGGTTTTTCGTCATTTGCGCAGATTACAGTTTTGTTCGATGATTTTCAACAACCTCACAATTTAGACTGTTCCAGCGTCAACACTACAATTTCAGTTTTGTGTAACCACTTGCTTCCATTTCAATGACATCTTTGAAATTCTTAATCAAAAAGTGGGGGGTTAATAAATTACTGTTTTAGGCCAATCACTTAATTAAAAATATATTTTGCAGGTTCACCACTTGGATAAGCAATTACTGGAGAGAGACACTTACACAAAAATACGTCACTTTTCGAAGTTTGTTCGATGTTGTAGCCTTTTGAAATTCAAACTTGTATATTTAGGATCCTAAGGATAAATGCTCATATGAATATGGAAAGTATACCATATTTTGTTCCGAATATTATCTTAAACTTGTTTTATAAAAATATTTATTTTCTGGTTGTAGAGAGGAATCTTTTCTTCGGTTTTAATTCTATATTTCATTCTTCGAAATTTACTATACTCTCTAACATGTTCTTACATTTCTGGATACAAAACAAAGATACTTATTGCTACAATTTTTTTTTTTATGCTTTGCTCTTAAGCATGAAGCTACCCAATGGGCTATTTGTACTCTGCCCATCAAGGATATAAAAGCCGATTTTTACCATTATAAGCCCTCAAATTTAACGCCGAGCCACCTGGGATCAAATAATTGTCAATTATAGACCTATTCATACAGTTCTAGGAAAAGTACTCCAAGTAACTTCCTATGAAGAAACTTAAAGCATGAAGCCCAATTCTTCATTCATTTCACCACTTGTCACAGAGTTATACCAGTTTCAGGTAAATTCTACTTCAGATCAGTAATCCTACATAAAGGCTTTCGTTTGTTTTAACGTAAAACCACACGTTGGAGACTTTCTGCTCTATCCACCGCGGGGAATTTTAACTCGGACTTTACGTTGCAAGTCTGCAAAATTATCGCTTGCCCACCGGGGGAACTTAGATAAGAGCAAATCGAGCAAACAAAATTAGACTCCATTTACTGGTGGAATGTACAATGTATAATGAAACAACTTAAAGCTCTAAAGAGGGAAGACTTGTCATACTAAACAACAAAGATAAGTCCTCTAACAGTCTAACTAAACATCATCACCAGATACATCTTTTTTTTAAAGCAGTGTTGCAAAAACATTCAACACACAAAGTTGAAAACAAATATTTTACGGATATTAAAGAGAAATATTTAATCTTATTCTATGACAAAATTCGGCTGGTGTAACAAGTACAAGTTATAATAAAATAACAATATAGTGTACAGCAATTAGTGAAAAAAACTACAGTAAACGGGACAACCTGTCAGACTTCTGCTTACTGTGGTCCCCCCCCCCCCCATCAAGAGCACAAAAAGTAAAATAGGCCTAACAGTTATTTCAGTTTTATTTAGATTGCCAGACAGACATCCAGATTTTAATGATGTGACCCAATGAAACGGTAAAACTTCCGATTTTCCATTAGTTTCTGTAACCCAGAGCTCAATTTCCTGCATTTAGAAACTGTCATTTTCACCCTTTTCTTAAATTCGCACATTTCCTTAAATCCTAATAAGGTATTAAACTCAAAACTTAAAAATGTAATTTCTGCGGGATATCCCAGATAGTTTGTGAATGACATCTGGCAACCTTGTTTTTTTATTTTGACATTAACCTGCGCCATAAAAGTAGTTTAAATTACTTCTTTTGTTGCTCAAAAGTTTAAGATAGCTTACATGAAAGGTGGTAGTAATAGCAGCACGCTTGAAATTGAGTCGATCAAGTAACAGTATTCACAGTGCGAGAGTTTTAAAATTACTTATTGATTTTCTGTTTTTTTAAAACATAGTTCTAATACGATATATTTATTCTGTTGGAGAAAGATAATCGCACACTGCTGGCAGCTAAATATAGGATGTTACGTTATAGCTATAAAACATCTACCAGTCATACTAGTAACAATGACGTGTAACAAACCAAAGTTTTTTGTATTGTTTTTTTAACAGTAGCGAGTTATTTTCAATACCGAGCATAAAGTCGTAGCGTATTACGAAATTATTTACCATTCGTACAAATGACTTACCAGTAGGAACCCGTCCATGGTTGAGTTAATGGTCTACACACGTGTACTCGCCCAGAGAAAAGTATACCTGTGTCACTTTCTCATTTCCTTAAATAAAAACGAGCTTACCTCCAAGGCCACCCGTTGAGGTTTTAACCTCGAGGGGGAACCAGGTTGACCCCATTCGGTATTATTATTTGAAGGTAGAACACCATTCGCTGGGTTAACCATAATTTGTATTGATATAAAATAAACTATCAATAATAATGTTTTGCCCTGAAGTCTTTGTTCTATTATCGGAAGGGCGTTAGAACTATAGATGTTTGAAGTGTAGGAGGTGTGCACGTCTGTTATTGGCGTTAGAAAAATGTGTTGGTTTGTACTATTTATATTTTTCATTTCATGTTTGTCGATATTTCACGTAAAGTTAGCTATATGAGTGCGAATCAAATATATTCATATGTATAAACTCCCTATGTCTTGTTAGTCTTGCAATGCTTTACATAATATTTACTTGTAATTTACTGTAAGAAAATATGACGTGAGCAACTTCAGAAGACATTTGTTGAAATAAAATAATCCTGCAGTCTTGGGTAGCCTAATTACTTATTTGTTTGTTTGCTTTCAACGTTATAATAAAGACTATGATCAAGTCTAAACAGATAAATATGTGTTGATGATGAATTTGTGTTATTAACATAACAGCAACCGAATGTTAATCACTAGAATCCAGCGCCCCTACTATTAAAAATGGTTCCAGTTTCAATATTTTAGCTTGTGTATTTCCTCGTAATCTCCTTTACATTAGTTGAATATTCTATGTATTTGCGCGTTGAATCTCGTATTATTTCTCTTCTATCACTTTTGAAAAAACAAAAAAAAACAGGAAAATTCCAATGTGAAAAAAACGTTGCACGAATACCAGCTGGATTATGAGTTATGCGAGCATTGCCATCTATCGGGATTTACATTATTATATATATATATGTAAGATTTACTGTATATTTCTTTCATACTTATGAGAATAAACACGTTTTCTTCAAAAAATTATTGTATTTACAGTACTATTGTCATACTTAATAAAAAAATTACTATTCCCATAAATCAACAAAAAAAATTCTATTGTTAGTTTGATTCGAAATATTCGCACAAAACTACACAAGGGTTAATTGCATTAGTTATCTCTAGCTTTGAACAAACAAACTAGAACGAAGACAGCTAGACACCAGTACCCATAGCCAGCTCTGGAGCTACTCTACTCAAGTAGTGGGATTTCACCGTCACTCTTATTACGCTCTCAAGGCCTAAAAGTGCGAAGCTAGTTTTCGTGATAACTGGACCCGAATCATAGACACCTGGATTCACAATCCAAAACGCTAACCACTAGACCACTCCCGACCCATATTGTTAACGTAAACAATTGAAATTTTAAATAGTGGTTATCATAAAAAACATCCTGATACTAATAAACTTGAGAAGTGCCGAATCGACGTGACCAACTCAGTACCTACAGTTTATACAAAACTGAACTATTTCTGAAAAATACACGACATTTAACGACTAACATCTACACATTTATGGAAAACGGGGGTATTATTTTCCTGCTTTATGTTCAATAGCCTGGTTAATATTTACTCTCTCGATTGTCAACGACATACTTTGAATGATATTAAACAGATATAATCACGAGTACTGTTTATAAAATAGCGATTCAATTGCGTTTTTTCTATAGCTACAATATAGGTGTAGTATACCTTCCCCCAGCAGTTAATTTCAGTATAACGCAGGAAATATAAACTTCTCAATACAAGGGCGGGCGTGGGCTCATTATTAGCGTTTGGACTGCGATTTTGAATATCCAAGGTTCGAGCCGTGATATATTAGTGTTTTCCGCAGCCTAACCCAATTATGCCACAGAGGACGTTTGGTATAAAATGGAAACGTCAAATTCGAACTTAAGCCTCACCTTGTGGCAACATCTATTTAGTTTATGCTTGATATTTGAGAAATATAAAAACCACTTAAAATCTGTGTAACATAAGAAAAATGTCCTTCCTCCGTTCCTGAAGCCCGTCATGGCCAGGTGGTTAGGACACTCGACTCGCAATCTGAGGGTCGCGGGTTCGAATCCCCGTCCCACCAAACATACTTGCCCTTTTAGCCGTGGGGGCGTTATAATGTGACGGTCACTCCCACTATTCGTTGGTAAAAGAGTAGCCCACGAGTTGGCGGCGGGTGGTGATGACTAGCTGCCTTCCCTCTAGTGTTACACTGCTAAATTAGAGACGGCTAGCGCAGATAGCCCTCGTGTAGCTTTGAGCGAAATTCAAAACAAGCAAACAAACCCTCCCTGAATTTCATCAAATCCAATAAATAATACCTTCTAAAAGCAGTTGTCAACCGTTCAAAATTGTTTTTAACATAACAATTGAATGGCGATTTGTTCGTTTGGGTTTCCTTTTTAGATGCTCCTAAATGTCTAATTATCTAATTTCCCACAGTTTGCTTTATTATTCGTATCAAATACCCCTAAAAATAAAATTTATCACTGCTTGACTCCTTTGCGAATAACAACATTCCTTTATCAAAATTCAAAACATGGATCGAAATAACATCACAAAAAAAAACACGCCAAACTCTTTCGCTACCTAAATTCGCTCCTTTACGAAACTCATAAGGCTTCTATAAACTTGCGTTGGTTTGTAACTATACTTAACGCGTATTCATCTCTTAATATTTTCCCGCCAAAGTTTGAATTTCGCGCAAAGCTATACAAAGGTCATCTGCGCTAGCCGTCCCTAATTTAGCAGTGAAAGACTAGAAAGAAGGCAGCTAGTCATCACCACCGACCGCCAATTCTTTTACCAACGAATAGTGGGATTGACCGCGCATTATAACGCCCCCATGGCTGAAAAAAACGGGGATTCGAGCCCCCGACTCTCAGATTGCGAGTCAAGCACCTTAATCACCTGGCCATGCTGGGCCATCACGCCAGAAAATGTTTAGAGATATTCTAAACTAAAACCCAAGTATTTCGTATTTTCAACCTGAAAGGTACCTCATGTGACGCAAGAACTTAATGCCTACGTCAGATATCCCAAGGTTCAATCACACTCATCCCTAACTTTGAGGTATAGACTAAAGGTGGGGTAAGGGCATGAGTGAAATTCTGCTGGTATTCAGTACTGGGGCTTATTGGATGTAAATTCATCCAACCGGCATGCCTTCCATCGTACTGTCAAAAAGTAGCCACGTCACGACTCACAGAATCTAAGCAATCATTAGATATTCTTCAAGTGAACCACAAAACGACCTAACGATATTAGTTCTTATTGGAAACAGGTTCATGTTAAGTTATTTAGCAGCTTCAATGTCAGTCGCTATTGAACCAAGTCTCATATTGCTGTGTGATAACTCAATAACGATTATGTGTTTTATTAGCTGATTTGTTATGATCGACCCCGTCCCTGATATTAGTGAGAATTTTTTTTTACTCTCATTCAACATAATGGGTTTGTTTGTTTGAAATTAAGCACAAAGCTACACAATGGGCTATCTGTGCTCTGCCCACCACGGGTATCGAAATCCGGTTTCTAGCGTTGGAAGTTCTCAGACATACCACTGGGGGGCCAACATAATGGGAGGGAATTATTAATAATAAAAAGACATCTGAGGTCAGTTTACAAATATGAATTTTTGTTTAGTTGAGTTGCCTGTTTAATATGTTTTTAAACAATCAAAACAACTATGTTTTTAGTGAAGTGTATTAAAAATTAAACACATTAGCAAAATATTTATTATTATTTATTGAGAATTTCATTCGCGGAGGAGGGCAACAAGCTAACCATTGATGTATTTTGTTTATACCCCATGAGGGTGGATTAATACAGAAAAACAAAAAACAGGACCCGTTGCATAGATGTCCGTTCTTAACCAAAAAGCTGGATTTACCGTCACAGTTATAACGCCCTATAGGTGAAAGTCCGGAGCGCGTTCAACGACCCATCATGGCTCAGATCGTGGACTTTCGATCCATCTGGACCTGGCACGGCCAGGTGGTTAAGGAACTCAACTCGCAATCTGAGTATCGCGGGTTCGAGTCTCCCTTCCACCAAACATATTTGCCCTTTCAGCCATGGGGTCGTTATAAAGTAACGGTCAATCCCACTATTCGTTGATAAGAGAGTAGTGGTTGGCGGTAGGTGGTGATGACTAACTAACTACCTTTCCTCTAGTCTTTCACTGCTAAATGAGGGACGGCTAGCGCAGATAACCTTCGTGTAGCTTTGTGCGAAATTCAAGACACACAAAATCGACATATATAAAATGTCAACCAATAGACTTCGCCCGACCCAAAATGGAATCCAACAATGAGGAATCGTGCGCGAAACTGCTGGTACACGGTGGCGCAGATATTGATGCAATCCCAGCATGCTTCGCAATTCAGCACTTGGTTAGTCAATAAGCCTGTTTGAGAGGTACATGAATTTCACTTGTTTTTCCTGAGTAGTTTTTTTTTTTTTTTACCAATTCTACTAAAATTAGTGGAAAATGAGAAAATTGGAATCTTAGCACGATTAATACGGAATTTAAATGCAGTGGAGATAAAACTACTGGCAGAAAAGCCGATTTGATCAACAGGTAAACAAAATAATACGAGTGATTATTTTGTTACATGAAAACAAGCATAATTTCAATACGATAGTAAAAACCGTGTTCTAAATTGCTGAATAGAACGATATAACCGTAGCTATTGAATGACAATAGTGATTAACTTTTGTTCACATTAGTCACTGACATTTTATAGGGCTAGGATAATTTCCTCGGGAGTGTCAACTACTGGTTGGTTGAAGCGTTTTATCCTTTTTAGTGCTCACTCGGTTCTTCTCATGGGCTGTGGTGCGATAGTCTTGGACCATTGAACACACTTGGAACGACACCTGGTTCTATTTATTTTCTTTGGGGTGAAGGTCCGAACAGCAAAATAATATATTGATTTTCAAATCAGCTGGAAGAATTTTGAAATCCGTATGAAATTACAGATTTAACAATAGTCAAACGTTGATGTGTTCTTGCACTTGTTTTGTATTTCTGGTAATATTTTCTGTCACATTTTAACATGAAGTTGCT